AAGGATAAGCGCACCTATTCAGAATGTTGGATCCCCAGCCCTCCATATCTAATTCCTAAATAGTAGTGAAGACCTCGGACACAAGAAGTTCTCAGTGCCTGCCAAGGATCAAGCAATGTTTCCATCCACCATCACCCTGGAATCATTGTCCATGTGCAAGACCCAGTGCACACTGGTTTTCAGATAAAAGTGCATTCTTTGGTGACAATGGGTAGGGGAAATATTAAAAAATAAAATTGATGAGCAAAAAAGTTCCACGTAAACCGCAACATGGACCTTCACAAGCAAAATGCATTGAGATAAAAAGAAACTTTAAAAAATTGCTTCCACTGATGTCTCCAAAGCACAAAAAGCATCTAAAAGCAGCTTATTTCCCCATAAAGAACCCGAAGGACACTTTCATATCTGTTGTGTGCAATGTGTAGTCTTCACTTCACACCTAGGTGTTATTGAGCAGAAGGAAAAGCACTTTAAAAAGCCCAACACAAGAAATCACATGATTTTCAACGGCACCTGTTCACGCCTGAGCTACAAAACGCCAAACGCAGAAAAAAAAAAGTACATGAGCTTTTTTTGGCAGTCTCAAGTTTGTGTTTTCACCCCCATAAACTTCAATGGAAATGCGCGGTTTAGTGGGTGTATGTCCATTGACCGGCAATGTTTCTTGAGCTGCCAGTCAAAACGTGCGTCTTCATGCCGCGTAAAAATGTGCCAAACGAGCAAAAAAAAACATGCTGAACCCACGCGCAAAAAACGATGCTGCTTTGGGGTGAACAAAAGTTGCCCATACACCTTACAACCATCGCACGGCTTTCGTTGTGCGATGGTTGTAAGGTCATTAAAATTTCGTACAACCTGCCCATCTTGGACAGGCAGATTGTACGTGTGATCATCGCAAGCCGCCCCGCTGAGGGGTGGGCTTGCCGATGATTGCAGTGCTGAGCAGGCAGTGTGCGCTTGCGCACACCGTCCCGTGCGGCTTTCGTCTTGTGATCGTGCTATTAACCTGCCGAAAATCGTACGATTTTTGGCGGGTTTTCTTGCGTGCTCGTAAGAGGAAAGTCTTACGACCGTACAGTAAATGCGGTCGCACGCTGCCCATACACCTGCCGATTATCGTACGATCGCGGGATCACCCACAACTATCGTATGATAATCGTCAGGTGTATGGACACCTTTTGACATCTCCACATACTGCAGGTCACAAAATGTTCATCTAATATCATCTGTTACATAGTTAGTGGTTGAAAAAAAGACACAAGTCCATCGAGTCCAACCTATAGAGATATGTTAGAAGAGAATAAAGGAGCACAGGGGGATTCTATCTCTTCAGCTTCTAGTTTTGATAGCTTCTGGACTTGTGAGACGTCACTTGTACAAAATAGTTCACTTCCTATGTTTTTACAAAATATTTATTAGTTTTCAAAAATTCCACAATAATAAACATTACAATATTTACAAACAATTTCTTAACACAGCGCTTACGATGAACCATTCTACAATTGTACACACCATCTTAACAATTCTTTCTTCTATATTATTATTCCACATCTATCGTTTTGAAATAGTACTCCTTCCACACCCTACCCTTACATCCTTCCTTCCCTCCCCCCCCAAAAAAAACACACTCCTATGTTAGTAATGATCTTGTTTGAAAAGGGAAATAAAATCTTCTCTCTTGCATTTTCAAAGCTTAAAGGGTTTCTAAACCCTCACGTTTTTTTGGCTTGCTAGCCGTAGACATATGCAAAAAGTTGGTTAAAAAAAAAAAAAAAAACCCCGCTTTAAAAGCGGTTTAAACTTACATGTGTTTTCCCCGCGCGCTCCCGTCCGAGAACCTGAAACTGCTCGGGCGGCCGCAAAGCATCTTGGGGCGGGCGAATGCGCAGTTCGGATTTTCAGCCCGGGAGAGGAGGAGAGACACAAGGTAAGTCTATGGACGCGTGCACCCGCATGCAGACACCGTGGGACAGGAAGTACCAGCAAGGACAGAGGAGTCAGCGCTGGATCGGAGGCCCGCAACAGCGTTGGAGAGAAGGCTGAAAATGACAGGAAAGAAGAAGAGACATCATTTAAGGTAGGTGCTTTCATTAACATTGGGGGGAGGAAACAAAGTTTTTGACTTTAATGTCACTTTAACTGAGCAAACTGAAAAGAGAAGTTGATTGGTTGCTAAGGGCAACTGCTCCAGATTCTGCCTGCTCCAGTTTTGATAAATACCCCCCACTGTATTTTATTACTTTCAATAAAACTACTAAATGTCCAACAAAATGTTGTTTTTTCAACAATAATCCACTGATTCATAAAAGACAAACCTCTACGGCCCATGATCACCAAGAGAATAACCGTTCCTCAGTCCATCTAAGTGATGCAGCAAATTTCATAGATATTCATCAAAATAGAGTACATCCGGTGTTCTGTTAGAATCCTGGACCCGTGAGAAATCTGGACCCGCGTGTCACTTCCAGGGGCGTGAGGGGCCACGTAGGATTGTAAATAAAAGAAAAATATGCTTGTTTGACTAATGATTATGAGATTAAAAATTATAAAAGGCGGGGTCGCGTCGGTTAAATAGACACCAAACACATCAAGCCTTAAAATTGTGCACGCCCGCAAAATCGCAAAAAAAAAAAACCATACCCAAAATAGGCCATAGGCGACGCTGAAAAGTTTTTACCGCTCACCAATTTAGTGTTATCAGAGTGATGGCCCTAAAATTATCGCTCTCACTCTGATGTTTGCGATTATATGTAACGTGTGGTTGCAATCAACGTTTTCGCACGTAGGCGCACCCAACGCATGTTTATGCGTGTATGTGGGGGGCGGGGGACTTTAAAAAAAAAAATGTATGTGTGACTTTAATTTTTTTTTCTTTACACTTAACTTTATTATCAAATGACAGTGACAGGTCCTCTTTATGGAGACATCAGGAGTCTCTAAGACCCCTAATGTCACCTAGGGACCCCCAAAGAAGCTGATGATTCAGAGATCTACTTCACCAACTTCTGTAGCCAGAGAATGACAGCTGAATGCGGAAGAGATGTAATACACATCACTTCCGTATTCACAAAACCAGAGGGGAGATCAGAGGGAGATTGCGTACTGACCTCCCTCCGATCTCCCTGCACAGAGCCACAGTCCCGGGCCTCAACAGAGCCCACACAAAGGCACAACATACAAGTGGTCGTGCAGCTCTACAGCCGCCGGTCCACTGGTATGTAAGCAGCTATCGCTGCCTGTTTCAAAGTTTGACAGTTCCCGGCTTGTGCGTGCACACAAGGACGTTTGGAAAAGCCCACCAGCATCTAGAAGGCGCCTGTCCGGCCATTTATGTACAGCTCGCGGGCGGCAAGTGGTTAGAGTGTATTTCCACTTTTGTAGTCAATTTTAAGAAAACCCCTCTATATGTTTGTCATATGTTTCTGTTCACACAGCATATCGATTTTTTTTATTTTTATGATTCTTACCTTTCAGATGTTTTGTTGCAGCAGGCAACATGTCTGATTCCAGGCTTTTCTAAGCACCTTCACAGTGATCTGTCCTTGTAGAGAGACTTAGGAGTGAAATTTGAGGATTGTGTTTCTCTCATTCACTTAATTAACCCCTTCATGACAGGCCTTTTTTTTTTTCATTTTTTGCACCGATGTTATATTCTACATTTTAGGCCTGAAAATGACTTAAAACCCCCAAACATTATATATTTTCTGAATGCCAAGACCCTATAGAATAAAATGGTGGTAGTTGCAAATTTTTATGTTGCGCAATATTAGCGCAACTCCTTATTAAACCCCAACATTTAGTGATAAATTTAATTAAAAGTTGGCTCTACAAGTTTAAACAGACTCCCGGAACAGCCCCGATGCTGGCGACGTACACTGTACGTCGTCAGTCACGAAGGGGTTAACATACAATGGAGAAGCCAGGGTTGTAATCAATGAACTCTTTGTTAAGCTGGCCATACACCTATAGATTATCTGCAGTCAGATAGAAAACAAGCAACAGATTCTTCCGTCTACGCTAAACTGTGTGGATGGAGGAATCTCCCGCTGAGCCAAGCTTCAGTATCTTGATAGTCGGCCCCGCTGGCTCCCAAAATACCTGAACAATGCCTGCATCCAATCAGATTGTTCAGGTATTTTAAGAGCCAGCGGGGCCGACTCAAGCTTGGCCCAGCGGGAGATTCCACCATCCACACAACTTAGCGTAGATGGAGGAGTCTGTTGCACTTTTTCCATCTGACCATAGATAAACTGCAGATAATCTATAGGTGTATGGTCAGCTTTAGGACAGGCAGTGTTCAAATCTGCTTTACAATTTGATGAACAGACCCCTCACAGCCCCTCCTAACATTGCAAAGAAGGAGAAGCAAGCTGAAATTTGAACTCTTAAAAAGCCAAGAAACCAAAACCCAAGTAAAAGCTATTTAAACTGTAAGAAGTATTTGTTAATATTAGTTTTTTTAGTTAATGTGATGTGAATGGCATCATGTAACAAATGTAAAATAGGAGTTATCCCAATTTGGCTGTGAAAGTGGAAATACACTTTAAGAACTTTTAGGTGAGATAGGAGAAGGTAAATTCTTCGGTCTTCACTCCTGCTATGCACAGGGATGTATATTTTATGTACTTTTGTAGAAAAGTAAAAGGAGGGGTGAAAGAACCCCTAAAACTGCAGCAGAACATAATCCCTCCTTCTTCATCAGTCACTCCCATGAGGGGCAGTTGGGTGCCATGAATACCTGTTGTCCTCATTCACTTCTATAGGAAGTACTGGAACTGCAGTGTGTATAGGCTGCAGATTGGGACTGAGCTCGTTGACGTGAATGGGGCTGTGCAGGATTGCTTCCAGGATCCCTCCTACAGGAAAATATCGTTTTTATCTTTCCAGCTAACAGCTACAACAAAAAAGACACCTACCTATGTGTGAGCTTCCAGAGAGCTCTGTCAATAAAGTTGTTTCAGAAGAAGAAAAAAAAACTGGTGCGGTGGGAGGACCCGCGCGTGACAGTCAGTCTGGCCTCCGGAAGTAGACAGTCAGGAAGTGGAGGGGAAGGGGAGAGTGCGCACAATATTCCGCCTGTGACAGAGCGCCAGGCATGCCAGAGTCCCGGTCACCAGTGGCCGCCTGAGAGCGGGACCCGGGGAAAGACGGACAGCAGGGGACGCCCGGACAGGTGAGAGGAGGGAGCGGCACCCGTAGGAGCCTCACCCGGCCTAATGGCAGCAGAGCGGGGCAGGCATGATTGCTGGAGGGGGCTTCATCCATGACAGAGCAGATATGGCAGGACTGCTGGAGGGGAGAGGGGCTCGTCTGCTCACCACATAAGGACAATATACATATGGGCTGATAGATGAAGGGTGCGCTGTAGGAAGTACATCTGTTTACCTTTAGCAACCAATCAGAATCCATTGTTCATTTTTAAAGTAGACACTAACTCAGTAATATCTCATTTGCTGAAGCTCTGTATATCATAAACATCTTTTTTTTTTAAATAAAATACTGAGGGGATTCATCAAAACTGGAGTAGACCAGTGGCAACCAATCAGCTTCTCTCTTTCATTTTTTAAGCCTAACTTACCAAACTGAAGAGAAGCTGATTGGTTACCATGGACAATGCTCCATTTTTAATAATTTTCCCCACAATGTTTTAACCTTTTTCCAATCTTTGCTGACCATCCCCTGCAGCTTCCTGTCCACATACATGTATATCAGGCAACTCCTAATGGCGGGTTTCCTGTTGCTGACCACAGTGGACCATGGCTGTGTTTATGTAATACTATGTATGCATCAATAAAGGTATATTGATCAGCATACTGGGGTGCCAGTGACACTTTCTTTTCTGATAATCCGTTTGTCACTGCAGCACCCGTCTATTCCAAAGGGGCCATACCGATCAGGATGGCACTTGGACGTCAATGTATGTATAAAAGTCGCTTTGTCACATGAGCTTCTGATGGAGTGGACAACACAGGAGCACAGTAGGGGGACAGAGTGTTGTCACCTTATAACTAGAGGTTCATGAGCAAAGACCCTATTGGCAGAATCACCAGCTATCATTTTACTGACAGCTTCTGGATTGAAAAAATGAGATCTGACAATTTAAATTGATATTAATGTGATGAAGCTTATATGATTTGTTAGTGATCGGGGTTATATATGTGTTAAAGTGACCCTGTCGCCACACGGCCAAAAGTAAACAAAGCCCATGCTGTTACAGAAGCGCATGTACATTTACTTTTCCCACAGCCCGTATCTCACTCGCATCTATATTGAAGTACCTCAAGGGCCCGTTCAGACTTGGTCCATGCAATAACACTGCGGGAGGTGCTTTGTGTTGCCATTCATTTGAATGGCACCCCAAGCACACCTCCCACCCGTAGTGTTATCAGCTACACCACAACTTGTGGTACAGCAATGCCATGCGTTGCAGTGTAATTGAAAAAAAGTCATGCATGCACCGCAATTAACTTTTGCCCATGGTTCACACATTTTTCTTATTGCATATTATGTGAAAACATGCAAGTCTTGGGTAGAAGTTGGGTGAATGTTGGGTGAAAACATTGAAAAATAGACCCCATAGTGTTTACTGGAAAGCAGAATTTTGTGTTGCTGTAAAGTAGGATTAAAAAAGTATTTCCAGGCTTTCTGTGCAAACATACATCAGTAGGGATTTAGAGAGTCCTTGGAGAGTCCTAGGTGGTTAAATAGAAAGGTGGAGCTGCAGCGATGTGGATGGTATATTTAGTATTAATTCATTACAGGTAGAGATGCACCGATACCGGTTTTTCGGTATCGAGTAGCGATATTTTTTATTTCGGTACTCGCCAATACCGAATACCAATACCGGAAATCCCATTACGGAAGCCAGGCGGCGTGTAATGACTCGCCACATGGCTTCCTGATTAGGTGGGAAGCCGGGCAGCGTGTAAAGACTCGCCACCCAGCTTCCCGATTAGGAGGGAAGCCATCTTTATGCTCCCTTGTTACCAGGTGATGAGGGAAAATGAAGCCAGCTTTCTGGCCAATCAGGAAGCCGGGTGCCGTGTAATGACTCGCCGCCTGGCTTCCTGATTGGCCAGCTTCTCGATTAAATTGTGATGAGGGAGCATGGAGCCAGCTTCCCGGCCAATCCGGAAGCTGGACAGTGTGTAATGATTCGCTGCCCGGCTTCTTGATACCAGAAGTTGGAGTATCGGGCTAGGCATCGGAGAATTTGGGCGAGTAAGAGTACTCGCCCAAATACTCGGTATAGTCACCGATACTAGTATAGCTGCATCCCTAAGTAATTACACAGCGCGTTACATATAGAACATTTACATCAGTCCCTGTCGTCGAGGAGCTTACAATCTAAGGTATATTCCTGGTATCTGACCTGACTCGGCCTACATGCCACAAAGCAGAGATTGGGAAGGCATTGTGAAAGCTGGCTTCCCCAACACTCTGAGCGTAGGGCTTCCTTGGGGCCAAGGAGCATGTTGTGTGATGCAGCATCATAAGCAGTTACTTTGGGAATAATGGGCAGGATATCAGCGTGTGATTGAAGAGTTAGATGGTTATGCCGGGTGGAAATTCTTTGCCATTACAAAGTCATAAATTAGACTAAAATGAAAGCCATGGACAGATCGGACTTTGTTTGCTCTGGGCAGCAGAGAAGCAGATAAGGCAATTGTGCTGATGCTGGGCCTGACATGGATGTATTATAATGTATTGAGCGTACAATATCTGATTCTGCATACAGGTTGATAAAACTATTCATTCCAGGGGCCATAAGAGTCGCAGCCAGGGAAAGAGGAAATATTGGTTAACACAGTTCTGTCAGGTTGGGTTTTTTCTTTCTTGGCTCACAATAGTTTTTGATAAGTCATATCAATCTGAGCAACTGCTGAACAACACCGTGAGGCTGAATGCTTCGAATAGAAATGTTCTAGTTTAGTTACAACTGTCAGAAATAATAAGAAATCTTCTGCAATTGTATGAGTCACATTAAAGGAGCACAGTGTGTATCAGAGGTGGACAAAGGAATATGGAATTCAGGAGCCAGTCAGTCCACTCCAGGAGCCAGCAGGATTTATTTGTAGGAGTCAGCTCCATCGTCAACAACTAGAGAAAACCTTTAAAAGTTAGACACCAGCTGTCATTTTTTAAGTAGAGCTCCGAGCAGAATAAAACTTTACCCTTAGTCCCGCCTGGCTGCTAGACTGCTCCCTGCAGCCTCTTCTTTGCACATTCAATGCCTGTAAATCATCTGGCTATGCTCAGGTGGACAGTTAGTAAGGGATGAGGCAGTTTAGGTTGTACTGGGTGTCTTAGGACAGGTCCAAGTATTGGCTGGATGTCAGGGGAGCAAGGACAGATGAGGACCGACAAGATGAAGCTTGTGCTAGCTGGAACAGGGACATTGGGAACATGATGGTGACACAGTAAGCAAGAGTCAGAGGATGTCTGGGCCAACACAAGTATTGGAGTTATGTAGGTGTGCTGTCATTGCGGTGAATTATATGCAAACGTTGGCCCATAATTTAGAGTGTTTATTTGGAACACCAATTAAAAGATTGAGCAACCTGTAATACCTGCTTATATTTTGTATTATTTGCACACACTCCTTTCATGCTTGCTGTGAGGGCATTGGAACTAAACATTTAATATTTCATAGCATGTCTGCTAAACAGGATGCACAGGACTGGTCCAGTGCGATTGCATAAAAATAGTCCAAGCACTATTTCTTGTGATCACACTGGACTGTAACGCAGGCATTGTTGTGACATGTGTTCTGCTGTGGGGGCATGGCTGCGGTGCCATTGACTTGAATGCACTGACCCGGAACGCAGGGATCTGGCCGGGATGTGATCCAGTGCTTTTCATGCTGAAACGCAATGTAAAGCTGGCCATACACCTTACAATTTATCTGCAGATTTTCTGTGGTCAGATGGAGAGAGTGCAACAGATTCCTCCATCTATGCTAACCTGTGTGTATGGAGGAATCTCCCACTGGGCCAATCTGTTGCACTTTTTCCATCTGACCACAGAAAATCTGCAGATAATTGTAAGGTGTATGGGCACCGTTATAGGTATGAACTGGCCCTTAAAGAATTGATTGGTGTCCACTCCTCACTTGCAGCCTCTAGTTGATTGCTAAGTGGAGCAGCAACATTGATATGTCTTCAACTTCACTCACACTGCTTTCTTCTGTCAACATGTCTCTGCTCAGTGCATGTGCATGCGGCAGAGCCTGATAAGCTCCCAGTGCTGGTCTTCCTGTCCCAGTTTGAGCTCTGCTGAGCAAAGGCTGATGGGTAATTAATGAGACGCATTTAGGCACGGATAGACATGAATAGCCCGTTAAAAGATAAAATAACAATCCTGGTTTGTACTCTTTATCTTCAAATTAGAGATTTCCCTGCAGTTTTTTCCTGCTGCTAATTGTCCTCAGTCTGATGTGCAGTATTATTTTACCCGCTTGCTCCGAGCCCAGGTCATCCTGGACCCGCTCAAGCCCGTGACTGGGCAGTAAAAGGAGAAGCCGCTCAGTGATGAGCTCATCTCTCAGTCACTCTGCTTTGCCCTCCTATCATCCTGCTTCTTGTCAGCGCATGAACCGATTGGCCCCTTGTACTGCTTTTTCTTTTCACACTCAATTCCTGCTGCACAGGGACTGCAAGAGGCTGATTCCAGGTCAAATGCTGGTACTTCCACTTCTTGCATTTAAACAATACTATTATTGACTACAGAGCTGCAAAAATGTATTTTATATTCACCTAGAGTTCAGCTTTAAATATTTTTTTAGTGGAACACACAACTTGGCTACATCTCTCTATCTACCTGAAGTTCAGCTTTAGGACTGAGGCCTCATTCACAACAGACACAGTGTCACTCCCCATCCTGCCCCACAACATACTGAGCCGGCCGCAATGTGCGATGCAGTGCGTCCTGGCCAGAATCGGGCTGGAACGCACTTCGTCTGGTGTGACTGAGGACTAGTTCACACCAGATGCAGCTGTGATGCAGTCCATGGCAGCTGCGTCAAAATGCTTTCCTATGGGATTTCTGGTGCTCTGTTCACACCAGTGCAGTCAGAAACAAATCCTGCTTGCCACAATTTAGCTGCCCCTGATTGCAACGGAACGCATCAAATTGCATGCAAATGCACTGGACTACACCTCAAGCACATTTTAA